GGGGCTTTATTCCAGTCCCTTTTGAGCCCTCGTTGGGCTATGTTTACGACGCTCAAGCCCCTATCTCGCAGACACTTCCTTTAGATAGTGATTTCTAGGGCTATGTTAGGCAATCTCTCTACTTTATTCCAGTCCCTTTCGAGCCCTCGTTGGGCCATGTTTTGCGTTCAAGTCCGTATCTCGCAGACACGTCCGTTAGATAGTGACTTCTAGGGCTATGTTAGGCAATATGGAAGCTATGTTGAGCCACGTTAGGGGAGCCTGTTCAACCAAATGTCCGGCCTCAGTCCAATTACACTTTACCGCTCAGATGATTCAAATCATGCAAAGGAAGAAAATGGCATTTCTTGCATCACCAGGGGCTTCAAAATAGCACGAATTCATCTTCCGGCATTTTAAGCCGGTTCCAAAAACGTGAAAAAACACAGGATTCTAGAGCGAAAATGCCCCCCCCTAGCTAAAGCTATTGGCTTGCATATGCTAGCTTACGTATAGCGCGTGCCTTAAAAAAACGCTTCGGCACCTTCGGTTCGGGCGGATTTTGCATTCTTGGCTTGATGTGTGTGAGGAAGAGGTCAAGCGGTTTTCGACTTTTCGGGAATTCATTCTCAAGTGCACTGAAACTGACAAAGATCCCAAACAACCATCAAGGTTGGCGAGGGAAAGTTCTTTTTCCTCCATGGGACAAAATTGAATCATCACCGTCACGATTTTTGCCTTTGGGGACCTTGGAATTTTTTTTAAATGAAGATGCCACTGTTGGACTGAGCCGTTGTTGCTCTGGAGTGGACAGACCTCTGAGCTCCTTAGATTTGATTTTCCCATGGGGTGTTGCAGAAGTTTTTGTGGCATCCTCGTGCTGCTGCTGGCATTGCTGATTGGATGGCTGCAGGTGGCCTGCCCACAACCCCACCCGCCGCCTGGAAACCATACTCATTCGCAGGGAAACGGATCTGTGTTTTCTTTGGGGCAACGCCCATCTCAGTTTTTTTGTGGCAAAAAACTAAGGTGCTGGTAGGGGTGGTTATTCTTTTGGAAGACACTCAGACAACTGTGCCACTATGCTGAAGACCAGCTTTTAGCCAACAAAATGTTTTGCAAACCACTCTTGAAACAAATTCGACTCGACAATACGGATGGGGAAGAGTTCCTTGTTGTGATTGGCAGCATTACTTCCCCCGCTGCTCCCCCGGTGACTCCGCCCAAGCAAACCAGAGTTCCCTGTTGGATTCTATCCACTTTTCAATTTCGTGAATCTCTCACTGCCCCTGATTTGTTGAATTCTTCTTGCTGGACTACCTCAAGCTTTGGTGAAGTATGTGAGGGGTGGCCATGTAGAACCACTTTTGCACGGTCCAAACATGATAGACAAACACACTTTAGGACCGAAGAAGAGCAATTGGAACAGATTCCAGGTGGGATTCCGACAGCAATCTGAGGTGGGATGCTGTGGAAATTTATGGCTGGGTAGGTTATGTTCTTAAACCATAAATTTGTGGTACATTTTTCCAACATGATTGAACAAGTCAAGTCATCAATCGAACTTACTTTGCAAGTCACCGATTCAACTCCCCTGTGGTGGCCATTGACCTCTCCCCGAGGACAGGTCTGATCTTCGCGACCGTCTTCACAATCATGGGCTACAACAAACCCATGACTGAGCCGGTGCCGAAGAATTTGGAGGCTGCCAAAAAACATGAAGGACTGAATGAAGCAGAGAAACATAGAGCGAGAGTGAGAGCGAGAGCCAGCGAGGTTCCTCATAGCCACGGTGTTGCCCAGGAGAGCGTACCCTGACGCTGGCCAGCGGTGCCAAGATGCCAGCCATTGGCATTGGCATGTGCCCGATTGGGTTTGATTTGTGGGGGATTCGAACCAAAAAGGTGTGATGAAGTGGTACAGGTGGCATTTTATATCTTCTTGGAACGGACGACTTGCCAGCTTGCTGTTTGTTTGGACCTTAAGTTGCTAGCCTGGGGTTCAAAAGCAAAGGCGGCCTTTGCTCTTTCAGTCGCCTCTCAGAGTGCAGCATAGTCGGTCTGGCGGGCCACACGTTTGCGCTTGCGGAGGTGCTGCCGACCTACGGCTTATCACCAAGAGACGCTTGGACAGTAGGTCCTACGGGATAGACCGATAGACTCGTATGTCCTCGCAGATTCACCATTGGAAATTTTGTCGAATTCATTCCGGTTCTTTTTGACAGACGGAGTGTCTTCAAGACTTCCAATGGAGAACCTCACCTGCTTCAGGACGTTTGTAGGTGGCAACCTCCTTGCCTCCCACCTGGATCACGTTTGGCAAACTGGCCAGTTGGAGTACTGAGTCATGGGTGGTCGTTAAATGAAGACCTTGAAACAGTTCTTGGTTCCTGGCGAGTGAGCAGCTTTGACACGTCCTACTCCCCAGCGTCTTCAATGGCATTGTCAACGGTTTCTTTTCATGTCCCGCGAAGCCACAACCTGGAAGGGGGACCAAACGCGCAGATGAATTGGTGGTGGTCTTTGATCAGTCGACTGATCCCAAAAGGGAAGGAAGGTCAGAACCTTCAGGATTCTGACCTGATCCACTTCGTGCCAGCCCTTTTTCCCAAGGAGTGTCTACAATACGATCCTGTGGTACTTGCTCCAGGGTGGCCGTCACATCGACACTGCTGAGATCTATGGTGCCTGGATATGGTCACATTTTCAGGGGGTCTATGGGGCCTTCCGCTTGAACACAATGATTCTTGAAGATTTGCTTCATGGTCAAAAGGAACACCCCGGATCGACTTTCTGGCACCTGCGATGTCTACAGAGTCTACAGCACAGGAAACATATTTGCAGCCTTATGAGTGCAATAGTTCAGTGAGGACATCCTTTTTGTGTTCTTACTAGTCAGAAACCGCGGGAGCCCTCCCAAAAGGGTTCGAAGGAAAGCCAGAAAGGCTAGCAGCTAGTGTGTGTGGAGAACACATTGGCAAAATACCGCTGGGCTGCCCATGTGGCTGTTGGTGCCTGTGCCACGAAGCGTCCGCTTGAAGCCCCCTTGAAAATCCTTGAAACCCGTCGCCTCGTTCTCAAGGCCGCCCCCCGCGAGTCGTCCGTTTCCCAACCGCCTGGCCGGTGACGCGGCCATCGGCCAGGCAACCACGTGGCCATCGGCCAGGCTCTCAAGGAGGCGGCCAAGCGTGGCGTGCCACGGGAGGCGAGTCTTAAAGCTCGGTGGTGTTTTCAAGAGGAGTCATGCTTTTGGTGCAGAGGATCGCAGGACCTTCGGTGTATAGATTGTAGATTTGTTTGATTGTTGATGGGTCGTAGATGCATCTGGAGCAAAAGCAGACTTGATGAAGAGGTTGGTGGATCTTTCTGGATGGCAATAGACAATACAATAGATGATGTTGTGCATCATCTCCATTTCTTCTAGAGCTTCTTGGCCAAGGGTTGAGCGCGGAGCCACTTTGCAACAATGCGTTGCATGACAGAGCTCAGCATCAGCACACAAAGTTTAGAACATCGCAATTTTCAGTCATCAAGTCGGCGAACCCAGATCCAGTGGCGACGCTCATATTTCCTTGTTTTATGTTGATATCTTTTTTCAGCTAGGAACTCTCACGAGCAGGACGCTTCGGATGTTCGTGTGTCGGCAGAAGAGGACACAGTCACCACAGAAATGACGACCAACGTGTCGGGTCTTCCGAATAATGGGTGGTTCTTTTGTCACCCAGAGGGTGGGTGCTCAATTGATTTGTAGACTGCCTTGGGCGGTTGCTCCATTGCTCCAACGACGTGAAACTTCGTGGCAGGAAGTCTTCCTCGTCACCAAGGTCTGGCCAGAAGACTTTGGAGCCTAGACTGGGGGGAGACCGTTGCGAAAGGGGAGGAATGGTTCGGTACAATAGTAATACGTGATATAAGAGGTTTGATTGACACCCAGACAAATCTCTAGTAACTGGACAACCTTTTCCATTTTGTGCAGACTGCTTTTGGAGGGGAGGCTGAGTTTTGAGTATGCCAGCTGCCAACACGGTAGGCAGATGCAAGGAATGGACGACGGTGTGGAGCAGAACTTGTGGAATGAATCAAGCCAGGCACCTTCTTCGTACTTACTGTACATAGGAGACATGATGGGACTCTTGATCTTTGGCTTGGATAAGAAGACAGATAGCATGTCACCGTCGAGGGGTGTGAGTTTCTGAACCGGCAACTATGACGTGAGTCTCAATCTAAAGGCTTTTCTGGTCAAAGCGTTCAACTGTTTCGGATGAACAAGCAAGCATCAGCCTCAGACAGTTTGTGAAGGGTCACTGAATCCTACCTATGTGTAGAGATTCAGTCCTCTACAAGGACACCTGTGAAGAGTCCCGAAGCATTCTTTGGTTTTACTGCACTTAGATCAGCGACGGAATTGGACCGACGGTTTGGAGGACCAGCGATGATCAGATGAGTCACAAAGTGAAAGGCTGCCATGTGAGCCATGTGTTAACGGGCACGAAAGGATGCTCAACGGGCTTCTTCGGTTCCGCTCCAAGGGCCGAGCAGGCTTTTTCTCACCAGTGGCAGTCTATTCTCTCATTCTCTTCATTCCTTCTGGGTAGGTCGGATGAAGCACCCACATACTAGAGAACACCAAGGTCACAGAGGTCACATGTAACACAAAGAAGAATGCGTGAGCGAATGAGTTCTTCACCTGTGTTCAGGATACGATTCTACCGTGCACGCTGTGGAGAGGATGCTACAGGATCTAGGCCAGCTGAAGAAGTGTAGCAAGTTCCAAATGATACTGTAAAAATATATATATAACCACGGCTGTCCGACTGTCTCACGTGTTTTGCTTGTCCTAGTGTGGGCTTTTGCTTATGCTCCAGACTATCCTGCTCCACCTTCTGAGGGTCCAGTTGACATTGAAACTGAGTGGTTTTGTGACATCTCGAGACAATCAGATTCAACATCCTTTAAAACTTGCGTAGCGCGACATGTTCGGGTGAAAAACGTCATGGCCAGAGCTAGGCAGTGAACGCCACACAGAATCTTGTGTGTATATATATATATATATATCTAACATCGCAAAAGATCTTCCAGTTGACGGAGGACCTCTTGTAGGCTCTCTACACTATTTGTGAGGCGTGGACTATATTGATGTGGTCCTGATGCATGCGCCAAGGAAGCTGGCGCCCCTCTTGGTTTGGCACATGTATCTTGGCTGTGTGGACTGTCTACTGAACTCCCTGATCATCTCCCAACTTCCCAGCGTCGTAATTCATGTTCTCGGTGATATCACCACCAGCTCCCTCGTTGTGAGGTTTGCACAGAGAAGGCAAATGCTTTGCTGTTGATATTCAATGTGAAAGTTTTGCACATTGACCATTGCAGCCGTGGCTGGATTGGTTTGCCACAGCTACATGCTTGCAGAGGAGGCAGTTCCGCATCCATTCTTTAGAACAAAAACAATTGACCAGACAGTTGCGATGTAAAAACCGATGCTTCTGGCCTTTATACGATGCAAAGAAGCACGACACTGCTTGTCTCGTCCATTTTGGAATGCTTCTTGACTTAGTCACATCCCAAAAGGGCAACTAACAGGATGCACTCCCTCGACTGGCTTTCAAAGACCATTCCGAAACCCACCTGTTTGCAAAGCGTCCCAGGACTCTTGACAACCACCAGATACGCGAACAGGGAATTGATCCGAGAGACTTAAGGGCAAAAATCTCTTCAAGCGCCCGGCTTGCCCAGGTACATGGAGGGCTCTGTGGACGAGTTTTACAACCACGGCTGCAAGAACCATGTGGCATGCCGACGGTGCCTTGGTGGAAGACCCAAGATCACAGTTCGTGAAGATGAAGAGGGATTCTGAACAAATTCATAGAGGATGTTCTTCTACAATATTGTTTTCCCCAGATAGCGAAGCTATGGGGTTCTTATTTCAAATAATAGTGAGTTGCCCGTGCACGCTTTCGAGACAGGTTGCTGGTGCTGGGTGCCGGTGCTGGTGCTGGTGCTGTGAGCTGGCTGTGCGCGTGGTGGAGAGAGGTTGCTGGTGCCGGTGCTGGTGCCGGGTGCCAGTGTTGGTGCTGGTGCTGTGAGTTGGCTGTGCACGTGGTGGAGACAGGTTGCTAGTGCTGGTGCCGGGTGCCGGTGCTGGTGCTGGGTGCCAGGTGCCGGTGCTGGTGCTGTGAGCTGTCTGCGCGCGCTTTCGAGACAGGTTGCCGGTGCTGGTGGGCGGTGGAAACAGGGTGCCGGTGCTGGGTGCCGATGCCGGGTGCTGCACCTGTGGTGCTGGTGATGGGCGCTGTGAGCTGGCTGCGCGCGTGGTGAGACACGGTGCCGGTGCTGGGTGCTGGCAGTGCGCATGGTAGACAGCGGGCGCCGGTGCCGGTGCTGTGAGCTGGAGACTGGGTGCAGTGCTGGGTGCTGGCTGTGCGCCTGGTGGAGACAGGGTGCCGGGTGCTGGTGCTTGGTGCTATACCGGTGCTGGGTGCTGGTGCTGGGCGCCGCAAGCTGGCGCGCTGGTGCTCGGTGCTGGTGCCCGCTGCTGACAAGGAAGTGACAACAACCGCAGCTTCTGACAGTGAAGGGTAACAAACCACCGCTTGCAGCAGTGAAGGGCGACCAAGCGCCGCTTCTGACAATGAAGTGCAAGCAAGCATGGGCCACATGAACTTATGCACGCAACATCATACGGTGTTGTCGCTTGAGCGCTTTTTGTCTATTAGCGCTGTGGGGTATTTACACCCTTCAGGTTCTGTTTTGGCCGACAGCTGTGTCAAGGGCTGTACTGTTTGCGCGCATACTTTTGCACGTATAATGTTCTATGCGTCAGGCTCTCAACCGAACATTGTACCAGCATGTTTCAGCATGCTACACACACAATAGTCGTGCTGGATACTGCTTGGCCTTGGGCGAGTGAAGCCTACGGGCTTTGCCGATTGTGCGCATACTTTTGCGCGCATAAACTTATACGCGCAAGATCATACGGCCTTATCGTTCTGCAGATCGTTGCTTCAAGCATGCTACAAAGTCAATAGTGGCGCTGGATACTGCCTGGCCTTGGGCCAATGACGCTCACGGGCTTTGCTGTTTGCACGCGTACCTGTGTGTGCATATACGCGCAAGATCATACATTGTTATTCCCCAAGTAGGGATAGCTATGGGGTTCTTGCTGCAAATAAGAATGAACTGGCTGCGCGCGCTTTGAAAAGGGTGTCGGTGCTGGTGCTGGTGTTGTGGCTGAGCGCGCGTTTAAGACGGGCGGCGGCGTTGGCCGGGTGCTGGTGTCATGTGATTGTGCGAGGTGTCGTAAGCTGGCTGCGCAGGCTGCGTACATTCTTGTTCCAGCCAGTCGCATGTCAACAGGTCGTGGGATTCTGCCTAGCTATCTGGGGGTGTAATTGTTTTACTATTATTCCCCAGATAGCGTTCTTACTTCAAATAAATGAGTTGCCTGCGCGCGCTTTCGAGACAGTTGCTGGTGCTGCTGCTGGTGCTGGTGCTGTGAGCTGGCTGTGCACGTGGTGGAGACCGGCGCCGGTGCTGGTGCTGGGTGCCGGGCGCCGGCGCTGGTGCTGTGAGCTGGCTGTGCACGTGGTGGAGACCGTTGCTGGAGCCGGTGTGGTGCTGTGAGCTGGCTGTGCACGTGGTGGAGGGTGCTGGCGCTGGTGCCGGGTGCCGGTGCTGGTGCTGGTGCTGTGAGCTGGCTGTGCACGTGGTGGAGACAGGTTGCTGGTGCTGGTGCCGGGTGCCGGTGCTGGTGCTGGTGCTGTGAGCTGTCTGCGCACGTGGTGGAGGCGCGCCGGTGCCGGTGTCAGCTGATTGCGCGCGCTGTGGAGGTGCCGTAAGCCGGCTGCGCAGGCTGCGTGCATTCTTGTTCCAGCCAGTCGCACGTCAACAGGTCGTGGGAGCTATCTTGGTCTATGCTGGTGTAATGATCCATTGTTACTAATGTTATCTATGACTAATTCTTGAATCAATTTTCGCACACGTCGAGTACGCACTTAATGGTGAGGCTTTTAGGAGTACTGGTGGATTCTCACATTTCTTACCGTCACAAGCACTTGAGAACACGGGGTTTTCCTTTTCCTGTTTCAGTGCACATTGCTATGCACTTCCTTTGAACAGTGACTAAACTTGGGATTGGAGACCACTGAGAATTCTCTGGGGTTCTTGGTGATTCATTCTGTGTACTGCAAGTCGTCCCTTCAAGTCTGGTTTGTTTCTCTTTTGAAACGCGGATGTTCTTCTTCGCCAGCTCCACTTGAAATGGCGAGGAACACGTGGAAGGCCATGTCCGAGCTGAAGGATCAAGGGAAGATTCGTGATTTGGGTGTGAGTAACTTCCAGATTGACCAGATGACACTTGGCCACATGTGTTCGTTCAAACGCGAGAAACGTGAGAAGGTTACGACAACACATCCTCAGTTGAAAAGGTGGGGGGGCGCTTCTTTTGCCAACACAGTTTGCATCGCTTCGCATGTGGGACGTCCGTGGCTGCGCTGTGTTGGGAGACCCGCAGAGGGTCTGCGACCCGATCGGGGTCTGAGGAAAGAGCTTCAGGCGTTGAAGCTGGCGCCCATCTCGGTGCATCAGTTTCAGCTGCCTGGTGCAGACATCGGTCGACCGATTCGGTGACTGGGATGGGCTGTTGGTTGCGTGGTTGCAGTGCTGAGCAAGCATCAACGGTGCGGTCACTTGAGGGATTTTCACGCCCACCCACCGTTTCATCTCCGAAAGGCCACGCTCTGGTCTGCCACCAGAGCTGGTGTCATGTATTTTTTGTTTTTCCCCCCCAGCGCTCTGCCCAGGTATCATCCTTGGCTGCCGGAGTTTCAGCAAAAGGTCGTCGAGCCGCCCAACCCGAACATCTGAAGTACCGTCGCGAACGCGGACATCGACCGGTCGTGAAGGAGGAATGTTCATCAGTGACACAGGTAGATGAACATGTGGCCGCCCTGCAGTGCCTGAACCCGATTTTTTTTCCTCTTCCTTCACCATGTAGTGAGTCTTGGAAAGGTCTCCCTATGAATATAAAGATCGAACATGGAAGACTGGATGAGAAAAATCGACCTTCTCTTCCTGCCAACCCTTCCACAACTACGATAGATGGACGAAATAATCCAACCCTTGGAAGAAGCTCTGCTTTCTCAAAGCTTGCGCGCCAAGAGTTCAGAAGAAGACAAATCAGAGAAGAACAGTGGGCATGTAGTACAAGAGTTGGGAAACCTAGCTTGAGATTTGAAAATCCATTCAGAATTATCAGATTTATCTCTAAGCCTTTCCAGTGGCCCTTTCTATTGTAAGAAGGAGCTTTGTGGAGTTAGGGGGCTTTGGGTGGGCCAGGAAATGACGCGTTTACGAAGTGCCAAGCAAAGTGCCAAGCTCTCCGAATCCAAAGTGACGAACCTGTTGCCCTTCGTCGGGTCATTTCGTCTCCCCTTGTTCTTTGTGCCGTCAGCGAACTGAGGTTCTGCCATGCAAACAAGATCGCCATCACTGCCTACAATTCCCTCGGAGGCTTCAAAGACAAGGAATGGCTCCGATGGATGTTTTGTTCACAGAAACTCAGGAGATATACTTCCCATTGAGATGGTACGCATGTCCCTTTACAAAGGCTCTGAGATCCACCATCAAAAACAAACCTCAAGACTCAAGAGCCTTCCAGCTGCCCTAGCTTGATGTTTCATCCATTGATTAGGAGGGCCAATGAATTCCCAAGGTGGCCTTTTGGTACCCATCACGTGGACGCTGAAGGGACCTTCCACCCATCCGGAACGCGACCAGGACAAGGCGCTGGTGATTGAGGGTCTCAAGGCGGTGGGCAAGAAGCACTCCCGCTCCACAGGCACCGACCGCGGCCGTGGTGGGAAAGTGTACCTTGCGATTCCTTCCCACCACAAACATTGATGATAGGACTGATATGACCTCCAAACTGAACGAAGTCAGAACTAAACTATAATCACGCGCCCTTCGTGGATGTGTGCTTGTATTCCCGGGGAAGGAGGAAGGTTGAGGGTGGAGTCGATCGATGGGAAAATCAGCATCGCCAATAAAGAAGAACAGACGCTCAACGCGTTAGTCGTGGAGGTCCACAGTTCCGCTCTTTTAGGCCGTGACCTGATCTGGACAGTAGACCTGGTGTTGTCCGTCCCCCTCTGCTGCTGTCGCAGGGTTTACTGTATCTTTCTTGAAGGTGTGACTACCCCCAAGATATCCAAGGATCCAATCCCTTCCACCATGCTTCTGGACTGGTGGTGCTCAGCGAAATCGTGACCCATGGTTGCTGAGTCCATCTACAACCCCAGACCACAATTCTGCAACTTTCCAAACACTTTGCATATGCCAAGGGATTGCCCAGTGCAGTGAAAGTGCCCTGCCATGTTCCTTTCTCATTTTTTCTATATAGATTCAGAATAGTCAGCCATTAAAAAACTCAGGACATCGACTGCAACTGCTCCTATCCCTCCATGTTTACCCACTTGATTAGTAGCTCAATGTAGCTCACTTCTTGGCTTTTGGAAGGCCAAGTGCTGCTGCGCTGGGCTCTGGAGAAGAACGTCAGCGTGATCCCAGGCACCGGAAATCCCAAGCACATCAAGGCGCCCCGCTGGGGCGGTTCATGCATCCGCTGGGGGTGGAGTCACATGTGTTGAAGAGAGGGATGCTGGGACGCCCATCTAGCAGCTTCCTTTTGATTTGATATCAATTGTTTACTGTATTTGTATTTGTATGAAAGAAACATGGAGGAGCTTTTGGCCACCCCTGGGCTGAGGTCAAGTCATTTGAGAGAAAGAACAGGTTGGATTGGTCAGTCCTCAGTTCAGCCTGAATCATGTTTCGGCTTGGAGTTATATAGTTCAAATAGGTTTTCTTGTGGCAGTAGCAGAACACCCAATGTTTCCTGGACAATGAAACACCTTGAATGGCCGGGACCGCCGGACCTCTTGCATGTATTTTCTTTCGGTGTAGAATAGCTCTGCATCAATCCGCCCATTCACCTCCGCAGGAAAACTTGGGCGTCTACGACTTCTCTCTGAGCCCCGAGGAGGTGAAGCAGGTGGACGAGCTGTCCAGCGATCCCATCGCGGAGGACTTCATCTTCTTCAAGCTCTAAGCAGCGCCGGAACAGTCGACTCGAGGTCTGAGCAACAGCAACAGCCTTCACTTGGATCAACGCATGAAAGGATGGGAATGACCAGGAAAAAGGATAGAAGGAGTGTGTGCCAGTTGGGCCTTTTCAGGCTTTTGTAAGAAGCTACATTTGCTCGACTCTATAGTCTATAGGTGTGTTCTGTTTTGCAAAGACTTGATGTGTCCTTGCAGCCAACAGGGTCGACCCCCTCGGGGGTTGGCCTCCAGTAGTGAACTCAGAGATCTGGGTATATATATATATATAATATGTCATTTGGTTCGGTTCTTTTAGCCCTTGATACACCCAAAGGCATCTCCCCTGAAACGCCACTTTTATTCCAATTTTTGGACTAAAGTTGACTAAAGGATAAAGCAACATGTTTTGAGGAACACAAGGTCGTTGGGTGACGTTCTAGTTCGCGAAACCCTCTTTCCTGGTCCTTCCTCTTTCGTGTCCTTGCTGTATCACCCTGGTCGCTTTCTCTTTGAACCCCCTGGGCGAGTGTGAGGCTCGCAGGCGGGTAGCGGAGCGTGGCCCCCCCGTTTTGGAAAAAGAATTGTCCGCGGGGCCGGATGGGATGGCACAGGTCAGGTTCAACTGCTTTTCTGCTTTCGCAACGCGTTTTGCTGTACCTGGATCCTTCCATGATCTTGACACCTTTTGGATTTGGGAACTCTTTTGTTGAGCGATTGGCTTAGGCTTAGGTTTCGTCATGGAGGAGGAGTGATAGAGTCCATATTTAGGGGCTCCTTTGTTTGATAGGCAACGGACAAAACCAGTTGTTTTGGATTGCCTGGACTGACAAGTGGGGCAGCTTGGGTGGCTTGGGTTCCAGGAAGAATCAGTTGGAGATACACTAGTTGCACTAGTTCAAGCATTAAGCATCGCCCGACAATGCCGGAGACACCTTTTCATGGCGCGATGTTTCAGTCCCCCGTCTCCAGACCCGTCTGCTTGGAGCCGGACGATGGGAAGGAGCAATCCATTTGCCCCGAACCTTCCCCGGTTGGAAGGTTCGGGACGCATCGAAGCTGTGACCCTTTCACGTCCTTTCGTCCTGTGGGTTCAACCGGACCCCGGAATGTACTGTATCAATGTTGGATTGAAAGAAGCACAGTTGAAGATGAGATTCTTGAGAGGAAGCATCCCGCAGTTGAGCAATGTTTTCCAGGTTTCCAGACTCTGATTACCCACGCACTTGCGCTGACGTTTTTCGTCTTTTTTTTTTTTTCAGAAATGATCCACTTTCACGGGGACCAAGATGAAATGCAGGGCGTCAATGTCGTTTGGCACTTGCTTCAATTAAAGCAACAGGCAGAATGTTCCAACCATCGAGTCTATGGGACGAAGCTTGAGCCAGTTGAGAACTTCTTTCTCTTTGCAGACTTGCTGTGATTTCTCTGCTGCGCGCCTCTCACGGCTGGGAAGGTACCAAGATCTCCTGGATTTATCATGATACCCAGACACCCTTGCCAAGCTCAGCAGAAGCCAAACGTCACACAAGCTGAAGCCGTTGATTCATAGATGCCAAAAAAGACGTTCTTTCTTTTCCAAAGTTTGGAATAACTTGCATGCTTCACCTTCCACACGAAGACAGATGTTTTCACGCCCTTTTTCCCGCGTTTCGCAACACGTGACTGGCACTCCCGGTGGGCTGTGGCCATGGCCCAGGCCACAACTATGTCTTGTGTGGGATGTCTGAAGTGATCCCTGTTGTGCAGTGAACAAGGTAGCGACCCACCAGCTTTGGGCATGAAAAGGACAAACAACTATTTATGTAGCATGTTTTCAACGTGTTCTTTTTGCCACCCAGCCATCAGGGTTGTTTTCCGTCCATGTGAGTGATGTAGCGTTCAGCATTTCTTGGAGAAGGCTCTTCTTGGACGTCCTCAAGGCGAACATGGTAACATGGACTCAGTCTCACTACTCCACTGCTGCTCCTTCAGTGTATTTTTTGGGCGGGTCCGCACAGTTTCATCTCAACATTAGGCTCCAACTTTGGGATTCGCACCCTTCAACGGCGGAGTCTTCTTTCCTCCACTCCACGAAACAGTCGCCGGCTGTTCAGGCGACGGAGCTGAAAAGTAGGGGCGCCCGAGTTCGCAGCGGAAGATGTGCCGACTAGTTTATTGATGTCTGCCACTGTTACACTGCACTACTAGTGGATTGACCTGACAATTCTGTATTTTTAATAACCTTCGATCCTGAGGTCCTGTACAGTTCTTTGCAGTTTCAATGCCCAATGAACCTCCCACCTAGATGCTTACTGAAACAGGGGGGAGTATATACTGTAGGTAGTACTGTAGGTAGGTTGCGACCCTGGTTACTTTTTGACCTTGATTGAACCGACGATGTTCACCACCATCTCTTTCCATTCTCCTAGGTGCCGAGGCCATCAGTGCGGCGATTGACCGCTGCGATGAGGCAAGAGGTTCACCCGGTTCTCACCCAGGATTCGCTCCAGTGGAAGATCACTGATGGATGATGTTCTTCCTTGTCTCAAGACCGACACCAGATGGTTTTTCTTGGTAGGGAAGTGGTGTGGGGAGGCATTAAATCGAACTCCAGCTCGATTTGGTACAAACCGGGCACAGAATGTGACTTTTCGCTTCGCTGTGTGAACCTTCCTTAGATGTTGCAGTTCGGATCTCAGGTGTGGTCTGTGCACAGTATGTGGAGCCGAAAGCAGTGCCCGTGCCGGGCGGATCCAGCGAGACAAGCTCTAGAACTGCTCAAACTTCCCAAGCCTTAAGCATCACTGCCAATCTGTATACCACAAGGACATTCTGATGAAACCTCCTTTCACCCACTCGTGGATCTCCCTTAGATATTCGAAAAAATGACCAACATCTCCCCAGATCGTCATGAAGTTTGGCCTCATTTCACCCACCCCTCTTTGAGAGCATCGATGTCGCAAGAGCATCAGCGCCCATCAGGGCACCTTGCGACGACTCTTGCAGACGGTGATCCGGAAGGCTGCGGTCGCGGGGTGGGGCGTGGGGTCCAGTGAAGCTGGCGGCTGGATGTAGAGAGAGCAGCATTGCCAGTTCTGGAACTTTGGACACCAGGATGCCAGTACGTCAATCACGTTTTTGTATCGTTTTGGTGGTGAGGCTTGGAAATTGATCCAGCTGTCCAGCTGCATCTATCCGAGAAACCCACTCCATTTGCCCACACAACCGAGCCTTGTCCGGTCAAAATCAAGAAGAGGAGCTTCTGGACTCACCATCTCTTGCTCAATTGATTTGAGTTCGGGCCACACCTCTGTGCCCCGTGTGGGAGAAGGCAAGAAGGGCGTCGTCACGTCACCAGAACGGCCCCAGATGCCGCTGCGGAGCGCGGCGCTCAGGTCCCAGAATGCCGCCGGAAGATTGCCGAGGAGCTGTTGGGACCGGGGGACCAGTTGCTGTCGCTCAGAAGTGAGCCAAAGAACGACACCTCAAAACCACCTGCTAGGCTGCTAGATTCATTTTGGAAATGAATGTGGCAAATGTAGTAGCTTCACATTTATTTGACAGTTGTTTCAGGGAGACACACAATTGAACTGAGCAAAGAAAAGACTCAGGGCCAAGGGCGTGGGTGCACGTGCCCAAAGGACTCATTTAGGGGTCCCGTTCTGGCTGGCTTGTTTCAGGCCCTTGCCAAGCAGGAGATCCTTTTGCGCATCCAAGGACCACCAAGTTGTTCCTGTTTGGATGACTTTCCCCCCTTACCGACCAAGCGCGCTGAACTGGATTCCAGATTGTACGTGCTTGGGTCGGGGCGATCACACCAACTCTTCTCTTCTCTTCTTCCTCTCCATCGATCTCTCCACCCTATTACTGTGACTTGTCTCAGACCCATACCAATCATTGCAAAGGATTCTTCAATAGACAAATAAACAAACACGATGGACCTCGTTTCTATCCTTTTCTTTCCAAAGAACTTGGACTTTCCCCACCAACACCAGCACCCTCACCCCCCCCATCGGCTTCACCAATATACTGACGCGGCTGCCCGAGGATGCCAACCTCAGCGCAGAGCTCTACCAAGTCAGCGAGGAGGAGCGTCAGAAGGTGCCCTTCGTTCCGACGGTGTGGACCGGTGTCGTTGAGTGCCACAGTGCCACAGCTGCCATTGATGAAATAGAGGCTTCCAACGATGCAGATGTTGCTTACCAGTAAGTGGGTTAATATGAGTTATTCTTTTTGTTGTGCGTCGTTTTTAGAGTCTTTGCTGCTTTGTAGGATCGCATCCTCCGGTGTTTCATGCTCGGTTTTTTGAGTGTGAAGTCAGTCCGGTCCTCCGTCCTCAGGTTTCATCCGCGGGATCTTGGACCGATATTGAACGTAGGTCCGAGCACAGGTGCCAGGTTCGTGCACACTGTCCACGGAATTGAATACCTGAATCAACTTATCTATAATGTGATATATAGCTTTTAGGTGTTGCAAAAACGAACATCACTGTTGGAATGCGGTGTGGCCCTCATCTTCCGAACATGGGTGCAAGAACATCGCTGTGGATCTGCCCCCCATGCTTCCTGGGTGGCACTTGAGCTGCCCTCCTGTCTAACCCGAACCTCCAGGCGACCGCGGACCAATACAGCGAGAAAGTCATCAGCTGCCTGGTGAGGATTAAGGGGGATCCGAGGTGCCGAACGAAAACGGACACTCCCAAATGGTATTTGCAAATATGTTCAAACTCAAGGGGATTTGTGGAATACTTCTTTTTTTTTTCTCCAGAATTCTCTGGTGGACGAACAGGCGTTGGAAGGTGGGAAGCCTGTATTTTTTGAATGTTTGGCGGGATGTGTGAAGGATAGAAGATCCGTGGGCCACCATTCTTGTGATGGACGTGATCAGAACAATCTTTCTGCGAGATCTGTGGGTTTCAGCATTCAGTGGAGCGTGTCTCAGAAATCTAGCTGTATTGGGAGGACTACCGGCTGAGAAAACCAGCGTGGTGCCAAAGGAAGCATGTCCGGTCAGGACGGGTGACCCAAGACAGACAGGTTCAAACCCAGACCCGTTTGGTAGGCCCAGTAGAGTCTCAGTAGAGGTTCAGGCGGCCAACGGATGACCCGGTCGGCGGCCTGACCCCTCCGCATCCCTCCGCCCTCAGCCCAAGGACAACACCATGTTTAGAGAAAACCTTTCACCCACCGGTCTCAAGCACTTCACCCTCCTCTCCACCTTTCGGCGAACCTCTCCACCTCTCCGCTCGCCTCCGCGCGTTCGGTGCGCTGCGACCGAGCGAGGCGAAAAGGTGCGCGGGACCGTGGCCTCGGACGCCGTCGACTTCTGCGAGCGCGCGAAGTTTGTGCCGATGAGGCGGGTGTTCTTGAGACGGGCTGGGGCGGTCAGATCGGTGGTGGACATGGCAGGATGAGGCGGTAAATGCGGTTTTTGGGGTTGGAGTGTTCTGCAGTCTCTTGTGCCTGGTAACTAGGCTCTTGTCAAGGAACGGGCCAAGAACCTCTGCAGCAATTATTGATTATTGCAGGACAAGAGGATAAACCTCAGATGGTTTCTTTTTGCGTCCCTTTGTTGGAGCTGCCCGACTGTGGCACTCAATCCACAGGAACCCCCACTGCCACTGCACTACTGCTTTGTGGGTGAAGCTCGGCCAACCCAGGGTCAAAAGTATGAGTCCTTTTGGAAGCTGCAAGTTGAAGGCAGCTATAGACTGACCCATCTTATCCCATTTCTTGCCGGCTTTTCCTTGCTTTCTTGCGCAAACGAGCTGCTCACCGGCTCACCGGGCAACCTGAGTCGACGAACAGATTTGTACGAACGTGTTTCTTCATGGTGGCCGTTCCTTTCTATTTGATCCACACTAGGCCTCTGCTTCAGGCCAGCTGCACGGTGTCTCCAAAGCCCCAGGTGTATGAGGCTTGACATCACCCAGCGCAAGTATGTGAACCCAAAATTCTGGGGAACCCTTTGAAGTCACCTGCTTTGGGCCGCGCTGGCTGACCGTTTTTTTCCCCCCTAAAGTGCCGGTGTGACGTAGACTTAGGCAGTTCGTCATGGGTCGAAAAAAGGAACCGATTTTTCCCAACCGAGAGGGCTGCTGGGGTTGATCAAGACAGCTTTTCTAGTAGCATTAAATATGGTGGTCATTCTCGATGGGCATCCCAAGAACACCCACAGGCACAGATATATGCATGTTAGGCTTGGACACTTCCCGAGCAGGTTGACCTATGATGAGCGAAAATACCTCAGACTGATCGATGCCACCATGCATGTCGGACGGCCAAGGGCAGGGGGGTCAGGCTACGGGTGCACTTTTTGGAAGCGAAGGATCCCGATTTGGGTGGTCTGATTCCACGCAAAGTTAGGGAACTTCTTGCATGGCCTAGTGAGTCCGTGGCCACCCAGCACCGGTTTATTGGGGAAGCACCAGGTGAAGACCGACCTCAACGCTTGAAACTCCAAAGGCCAGACCTTCTTCTCTCCCTACTTGGTGACAAGCAACCTGTTGGTGAACCAGGGATGATGCAAATTTTTTGGGCGAGTGACAAAGGTTCTTGAGATCTCGAGGCAGAAGTCCATCACCTCAGATATTCCCACACTCTGATGTTCCGGATGGTTCTTGATTCTTTTTTTCAATGCTCATCTTTTGTGCTTCAAAGCCTCCGTTCAGGGGGGCACAAGCTGGGCTCCGGTGACGCGCGCGCGGGGGGCGTTGGTTGGCCGCTCCAGCGCCACCGGAATGCCATGGGGGACCTGGTCGCTGGCGGCGCTCGCGGTGGCGCTGAGGCTGTGCGGCTCGGCGAAGTCAAGAACCCATGGATTCTGTGAAGACCTGAAGAGGTCTACAGTTATAGAGGTTCAGTCTGAGGATGCATGTCCCATGTAAGTTTTAAGGGAGGTTCATGGATTCATAGGGGTTCAAACATTTACCAATTCACACTTAGATCTTCACCATATCTACTTTCCGGTTCTATGTTCACATTTCCACACCAAACCCATGCCGCCGTCCGGAGGGCCCGAGGTCCCACTGGTCACCTCCGAGGCCCGGGCGCCGCGGAGCGCGAGGAGCTCTTGCTGCTTCAGTCGAAGAGCTCGCGCACGGAGAGGACGAAGAGCACGTGGCACAGCGAGTGGGATTTGGCCGCGTAGAGTAACGTTGCTTTTGTGGGGGGGGAGGGGCTGGGGAAAGGTGAAAGTTTTGTCATTGATTTTGGGATGGGTGGTGATGATGGAGTTCTATTTGAGGGAATTCAGCTGGAGGTATTCAAGGTATGTACATTTATGTTCATGGCGCGCCTTGAAATCACTTCTAGGTGCCTGGGGATCTGAAGCAATCGCTTTCTAACGGACCAACAGATTCTGGATGACTTGATCCTTCACTGATCCTTCACACCAACCATTTGAAGCTTTTCAATCTTAAGACCCACATCCAACATAGCTGCTCCGTGTTATGTAGTTGGTGTTCATAGTGCCAAGACCCTTCATAGTGCCCAGGAACGCCCGGTGCCGTTCGTGCTCCAATAGACTCGTTCGCCCGTGCCGTCTCCATCCATCGCGCTCGGTCAAGGCGAGAATCCCAGGGGAGCAGAAGATCCCCTTGGGCGAGGAGTTGGAACTCAGCTTCTTTAGCAGCTCGGTTTTCGGCTATGATCGTGGGGATCTAGACATGGAGCCTTTCTGCGTGACGGTGCCGGCGCAGATCCGCTTGCGTGGCCTGTTCTTGTTTTTAAAGGAGAAACGGAGGGGGTGTGAGGAGGGCTGTCGAGGTGTTCTGAGGTTGGGGCGGGTTGTCTTAAGTTTGCATTTGGACCTTTGGCAGCCCTTGAAAGGCAAGAGTGCGCCAAAGAACCACAGACACTCACAAGACCAGCTGGCAGATTCGTTCAACGCGCTGTTCTGTTTCTTTTTCTTTTTTGGTTCTTTGTGTCGGCCCTCTGCGTGAGGCGTGGTTCCCACCTTTGGCCAGGATGGAAACTTCATTGCGTGACGCGGCTGTGGAAGTTTGGAGGAGCAAGTAGCGTGGCGAGTATGTACCATCCATAAGCATCATCATCCACAACCAGATGGCTAGATAATGAACGAACTGGAAACAGATGGTTCATCCGTAACCATCCATGTCTGTTTAACCAATGTCTTTTCACCAATCCTTTTCACGTCTTGTGGAGCATCCAAAGGCACCCGGTTCCCGTGGCTGATCACCCACGTGGCAAGGCTGACGGACGGTGGCAAGCCGTGAGGGTCCGAAGACATCTTCCCATTTTTGGAGGAACCGTTTTGTGACTGACCGAGATGGTGATCCAACACCTGCATGATGTGGGTGCTACACTCGGAATTTCTCACCTGGGTCAGTGGAGTGAAAACCACCTGTTTGGTACTCGGAAAACGTTCGCTTCCATGAATATTTCACGGAGTGTATGCTTTGTTGCATTTTACTTGGTATATAGTATACAACTTAACAACTCACATAGGGCGGTTGTGATGTTGGTGGCTGCTCTCGACGCCTGATGGATGGAGGTTGCTTCACTTCAACTCCTGGAAGATTGCCGAGTACCTGAAGGACACGGAGACTACTGCGACGTTTTTTACGTTTTTCGTGTTCATGTGTGGGGTGTTTAGATGGTTGGGCGAGGCTCACACTTTGAAACACTTTTGAGCTGTGCAACGAACACACCAATTTTTACACAAGGTTAATCTCTTGTTTGTGAACGAGACTTTCCAAGAGGCTAAACCCAGTCAGCAAACGTAACAGACCACCCAGAGCCACAGTATTCTCCTATTAGTAGCTTCCATGCTTCTCCAGCCTTGAACATAGGACGAGAAGCATCGATTGCTCCCTGGCATGCGAAGCGAAGCTGTTCTTGTTTGACAGCAAGACGTGGCAGCAAACGAATTCAGGCAGGAGTAGACTGACGGCCCAAGCAAATGGAGAGGCGATTTTGTTGCGCAAGGTTGTTGAACCGATTTGCACTGCCGACTTGACACTTGAAGTGCTTGGACTTGGACACACAAGCGATGAGCTAGTACATAGAGCACCTATCCGGTCAACCACTGCGGGTGACTTTATGCTTCCCAACATCGCCACACACACACACACATCCACAAATGACCGAAAGGACGACACACCAAGTGCAAGAGAGGCATGAACGAACCTCCGGAATTGTTCAGATCCTGTAAATAGCTAGCCATGAGGAAGGACATCTGTAAGGCACTTGTTTCTAGTAGCTTCTTGTTACTACTAGTAAGGCACTTGTTACTAGTAGCGATGCACTTGTTTCTAATAGCTTCTTGTTACTAGAAAGATCCCCAAACAGAAACCTGTTCCCGATTCGCTGAGGTTTTGCTCGGGCGCCAACCGGTCGCACGTGACGCCGCTGCGCGTCTACGGCCCGCGGCGGAACGTGTCTGAGGAGGCGAAGCTCCACCCAGTCGGCTCGTCTTGTTCCTAGTAGCTTCTTGTTACTACTAGTAACAAGTGCCACGCTAGTAGTAACAGGTGCCTTACTAGTAGTAACAAGAAGCTATTAGAAACAATAAGCTAATAGCTTCTTGTTACTACTAGTAAGGCACCTGTTACTACTAGCGTGGCACTTGTTTCTAATAGCGTCTTGTTCCTAGTAGTAATGCCCTTGCTGACAAATGGGAAGGATCAATAGGCCTTGACTGCCTCTTTTCGGGCCCAGTGCACAGTGACTTACTGTAGCGGTGGTAGGAGTGCTTGTAGAAGTAGCGGTTGGTGGTTTCTCATGTTACTTGGATACTTGACATGTGGCATGTTCAACAAGATTTCGAGGTCGTTGGCTCTGGGCTACGATATCAGAAGCACACAAGTTTTGATTACCTCACACTAGCAGGTTCTCCCTTTGATCCAGAACAAATGGTCGACTGGGTACAACTCCAGTCGTAGGGAAGTCGCCTGCCACGGTCCTCGGTCAGAAGCACGGCTTGAACTTCCTCTGTGACTGGCCAGCGGCCGAAGCCCACCTGGAACGCTTCGAGGTCTTCTTGGAGGAGCCACGGAGCCCGGCGGGCGCCAAAGAGATAGGAGTTTTTTGAAAGAATATCTAATGGGAATGGGAATATTAGCGGGTTTTAGGGAGACAGTTGGGTGACTGGGAAAGGAGTTTGGAGGCGAACATTGGTAGATGCTAGGTGTTCGTCCCAAAAGCATCACAGAAGACACAGTCATATTTGTGATTACAAGAACCTGGGAGCAAGAGCATTTTTGCTCAGTTCGTGGGTCCAGCGTTGCGGAAAAAGATTCCAGCACATGGAATGAATGGAAGGTGGCCTGCCTTGCCAGGGGAAGTTGAGGGAGAATGCTGACCTCCGTTTGTTTCTAGGTGAGCTTGTGGTTGCAGTGTTAGGAAAGTCGCTTGAGCCTATACTGGTCCTTTGACCAAGGTGCAACGTGCAGAATCATACTCTCCAAGCCTAAAGGACGGAACTTTTGGCTTTAAATCACCCCGCCTTTGTAGGAAGGCCACCGGAAGACAAGAACGGACCCAACTTCAAAACTTGTGCAAGGTGGACATTCCTTGGCTGGAGACTGGGTGATCCAGCAGTTTACGGAGCACACGGAAAGACACGAAGGTTAGATGGATTCAAGGTGGCCGTCCTGCTTAAGAGCCAGATCCTTTATCTGACACGCTTTCCCCGGTTTTTTTTTGCCAAAATTACCGATCCACTTGGGGAGATGGGGTGTGCTTCAGCATGTTTTCTCCTTCGAATTCGTGCCTTCGAGGACGCCACTGGAAAGGCGCTCGGTAGTGTGCTGGCCGAGCGAAAAGACGGGCTGCTGCAGTCACCAGTCGGCGTCAGGGGGCTGGTGGTGGCCCAGAAGTATTCGGTTTCAAACTTGACTTGACTCCTCGTACCACCAAATGGCCTTGCAGGCCCTGATGGCAGGGGAGTTTTGGGCCACCACCAGCGGTTGGTGCAATGCATGAGCAGGTTGACAATTGAGCGTTGCCAATCAAGACAATCCACAGCCCAAATTTTCAACTTTTAGACTCAGACTTGGATTGAAACGTAGGGTCGGGTCCAATATTTGTTTGAACCCTGAACGACCATCCTTGGTTTTTGTACTCAGTAAGTTTCGGGGTCGAAGACCACAGATGGTGGTTCATAGAGGCAAAAGGGGGCGAAACTGATTTTCTCTTGCATTAGGCACCGTGTTTGAGATGCCTTGGATCGCTTCTGAGTCACAACAGACACGTCATGTCATGTCCTTTGAGCCCAATGGTATCTAAACGCGGGGAAAACTCTTAATAGAAGAGCAAACCGCTTGACGTCTTGACATAGCCAAACTTCTTGAAATGACGAAGCGTGATGTTGATTTACATACATCTAACATCCGAAACCGATTTAATTATCCTGCTGTTAATTTCTATCGAGGGAAACGGCCTGAAACATCAAAGAGAGAACCAGGAACATATGTTGAAATCATATAATTACATTCCATTGATTCCATTGCAGCATGCAGCCCGTGAGAAAGCAATGCTTTTCATGCAACCTTTGGTTTCAAAGTCTTTTCAACTCAGTTGCACCGTGGGCTGCCGCTTGAGGCAGTATCGTAGTGCGGCCTGTGTGCGAGACGTCTTCTTCAACAATGAGAGTAGCTTCAATCATGCTTACAAGATGTTGCCAGAATGGCTGGAGTGACTTGGGACTTCTTTATGGGATGGGCTTTGGTTGAGGCGTGGGAGGCTCGACCAACCAGCATCAAAACTTGGGCTGGAACTCTATGAGAGTGAGACCCAGTTTCGTACATGATGTTCAAACTGGTGTAGCATTTTTCTTCTGAGGAATGACTGTCTTGTCGTCAACAAGAGCCCAGACCATCTTGGAGATGGTTGGACTCTCGACGTGGTTGTCAATCAACATTTGCAACACCCCCTCTCGCGCCAACATGTTCACGTACGTCAACAACCACCAGGCAGAAGAACTCACCCTCCAAACCCTCTTGTGAGCCAATATTCTGAACTGGTATTTTCTCAGTGCTTCTTCAATTCCACTCTTGAGCAGTATGCTCCTGTTTTCAGCTGACCTCGCCACCACGCTGTTCCGCTGGCACGAAAGAGCTGGCCTGGCTGAGGTATTCACGGCTACATGGCATCGAGCACTTCTTCATGTACACCTTTGGAGAGGTGGATCCCACCATGAGGCGAGATCCGCTGGCATTTGGGTTTGAGTGCGAGAGATGGGGTGATGAAAGGTGGTATTGAGCGGTGGTAGCTTCTCTTGCCGGAGGTTGCTGTCGAGCTTACTTGTCTTGCTCCTCATTTCTATTTTTGATTTGGAGTAAAGATGGTGTACTGTACAAAGGGCATCAAGGCACTATCCTTGCATTGCAAGTGTGAAGCTGTTCTAGTGCAATCGATGCACTGCACCAAGCTCCTCGTGCATTTGTGGTGGATGGTGATCCGCAGGTGCAAGAGAATGAGCCAGATTCTGCCCCACCAAGATTGAGACATTCCGCACTCTCCGAACTGCTTTTCGTGGCTTTCCGTCGGATTTGTGGGTGATGATTATGTTCTTTTTTGTTTTTGTTTTAATTGAGATGCATGGTCGCATACCCTCATGTTTCAAGCCCAACAATAGCAACAACAATCAGCACCTTTAGATGTTTACATACAAGGCTTTTTGCTTGCACATGTTTACTAGGCCTTTTATGATTGATGGTGTTTTGTATCACTACCCACCAGCGGGCGGTCAGGCACATGCTGGAGGTGTATCTCGCCAAGGGTTGGGCGTCCCGGATCCACTTCGAGCGCTACCCGGACACGGTCGAGCGCCAGCATGCGATCATGGAGGATTGCCTCTACCGTGCCAAAGGCGCGCCCGGGAAACCGGGGCGGGGGTGGCTGGACTGGACCCGTGAGGGCGCAGCTTGAACCTGCTCACAGTGCATGGCGCATGGCTCTTTTTGACCCCTCTTCGGCCCCTTTCCCTATTCAAAAGACTGAAGACAACTTCTGGCATACCAATCTCGCCAAACCGTTTCCCCATCCCTCCATCTTCCTAATGATTCATCTCTCTCCCTCTCAGGCCACGTTCAGTGGCTGCTGCCCTCCCTGGACCTCGACGAGTTCCTGCGGCCCGGCAACGCCACGCAGCTCGCGCAGCTCTGGGGCTCTGCGTCGGTTCCGCAGGAGACCCGTCCCGGCGCGTGCCGGGGGTGTGGGGTGTGGGGAGAGGAGATGGTGGAAGTCCAGACGGGGAAACACCAACAAGAACCTGAAACGTTTGTGCGTTTCTCTTCTTTTTCCCTGGCGGGGTGTTCTGTGAAATGGCCGGGCGATGCCGGGTGTGCAATGTTTTCTTGGCGCAAAACCCATGGCTGCCAGAATTCGGTTGCAAGGCCAAGTTTGGATGACAGAAAGAGTCAAATAGTCAAAGCCTTGAAGCGCTTTTGGTCAAACCTCCGAGATGTTTCCTGTTTCAGTTTTGTTTATTGCTTTCGTTTGTATATTCCATTTTTGGTATTTAGATTCATGCAACTTGTTCCAAGCAGAATCCCGGCATAAAGACACTTCAGATCTTCATTTCTCACAGTACCATATCAACACACCGAGATCAAAGCTACATCTTCCAGCAGCAAGCCAAGCTGCCCTTTTGAATACCTGCCAGTTCGGATCAGATCTCATTTGCTTTTCCCTTGTGCAGTCTGGAACTCGTGAAGAGTTGAGGTTGGAGTCCACCGTGAACATATCACTGTCCATGAGGTCCAAAACACCGTCCACCGATGATGCACCTGTTCCTGGGTGAGCTGGGACTGTGGTTGAAAAACCATTTGAAGGTGAAAAAGCACCAGAATGGCCCCTTTTCTTGGTGTTTTCCTCTTTTGTCGAAGCTTGTTCGGAGACCGCAAGGACTACCTGCGCAGCGTGTGGGATGAGATCGTCAGGCACGAGGGGAAGAAGACTGGTAAGGTCAGGAGCATCAGCTTTGATCTGCAGCTTGGCATTCACCAGGATGGGAGTGTGCACCATCTGCGATGGCATGGGACAGTGGTGTTCAACAAGGTTGTCCCCCACCTCCGGCTAATGTTACTAACATGCATGTTCCTCCCACTGTGTGTGGCAAAAGCAATTTCAATATCCTAACTTCGAGATAGACCCTGTTTCCTTTTTCCAGTGCTGTTGGCCTGTTGGCCTTCTTTTTGTGATCAAAGTGGCGCGAGGCTAGGTTTCTATGGTGAACATGATGCTTCTTCACGTTCAGTTTGCAAAGGGACTACCCACAGTCCACTTTTGACAATCTCTTGTGTGGATGCGGGCCAGGACCCTCAAGCACCTGAAAGCCACCATTGAACCGACATGAAAGCACCGCTAAACCAACATGTAAAATGTCTTCAACATTTGCGATGATTACAAATGCGTGAGAACATTGCATTCATATGCTGGCATGCTCTAAACCCTGGCAAGTGATAGGGGACACAATATAAACGATACCCTTCAACAAGGTTTCAAAACAGGGGGAACGGATAGGGGACTCACAAAAATGCCGATGCAATAGCCACACCTAATAGATTTTGACCATACCCCATGTGAAAACACCATTACTGTAGAAGGATTGAATCCTATACGACGATGCCCCAAGCAGCCTGCTACTCCGGTCATTTCATGCCACTCGGATCCAGGTATCGCTACCAGCGCGCTCCGCCGAATCAGCTGGAGATGTTCTCCGAGAAGCGCTCGCCGCTGAACGGAGGTTCCCCACTGCCCAAGTATGCGGCCAACGTGAGGAAGGCTGCAGCAGAAGTCAGCGGTTGTTTGTGTACGCCATTGCTTCGGGAGGGCTCAGGGGGTATAGGGAGGCAGGTGGGGTGTCGGGGTCTTGGACCTTACAGGTTCATTGGTGACCATGTTGTCATGCCACAGCTCCCGGACAATGAGCCAAGGATGAGGAGACGTGGAGATTCCTGGTATTGTTTGCACATCTGGCCACAGCTCTGGATTGGTAAAAGTGGAGAGAATTCATCTTCCCTGGCAATTTTGGTGGCTTTCATTTTGGCACTCAAGGACTCACCATCTCTGTTTCTGGACGCAAAACCTTCTCTTTACCACACCGGTAGACCCATGGAAGGGCAGTACAAAGGCTTGGCCAGAGAAATCTGTTGAATGCGCTCTGCTGTGGTTCACTTCACTGCGGGTGTGACAGAAAGTCTTCTCATCCGTTTGCTGCACCCACCTGGCATTCCACCATCCGACGTCCCCGTTCTTCACGCTGGAGGTGCAGAGCTTGTGGGTCCATTGGCCCCAAGTCTACGAGGAGTCCACCCTAGCCCCTGGGAATCGAGAGCAGCGTTTGGGCGGGCGGAGCAGCGATTGGATGGGGGCGCTCGGATATGGCGCATTGGTAGGCACAGTGTTTCATTTTCCTTGGCAGTTTGCAGGATCGCTTGTTGTGAGGATGTACATATTGGCTAACTGCAAGTGGTTGGCGTGTTCTCTTGAACGTTCCTTCAGGTGAATGACGCTTCTTTAGCAATCCAAGCGCGCGAGACTTCGACCCATGTCTTTTTTAGTGACTCTTCGGGCTCGGGTGTGGTGGAAGCTGAAAGCCCGCTTCCTGCTGAAGTTTGGACCCGCCAGCTCAGTGCTCTTGGACCTTGGGGCACCACCTGGTCGAATCCCAGTGCTCTCCAGCTACCTAAGATACCGTATGGGACGTCCGCGAACGTGTCACGTGTTCCGGGTTCGCCGGTGACCGGGCCTCACGTGTCACGGCTGAGGATCTTCGTGTCAACAAGTCCATCTTGGTGGCCAACCACTACAAGAGCAAGAAGAAAGATGGAAAGACACCCAGCCCAGATGTTTTCTGGAGATGCGTTTCTTTCTACAGTTAGTCAATTGTTTGCGCGCCATCTGTTCATGAGACCTCCAGGGTGTCGGGTCCCACCAGATGGGTCTCTTCGAAATCGACGAGAGCAAAACCGACAGCAACCGATTTTTCTTGGCCGAGAACACTTGGAACTGGATGCAGATGGAAGTTGACACCAACACCCCCATCCAACATCAAACATCTTGAGATGGTTTGGCAAGGGTGGTTTCCTGGTGAAGACATGCAAAGACATGTGAACTGATGCAAGCTCGTATTGATCAATTGTGCTGGCACTTTACGTTTCCAGTCCATCCATTAGCGTCCCTGGATCAGACCAAGCAAAACGTCCCTTGATCTTCCTGCCGCATTTCTTGCATGCGTTTCATGCTTTCATGCATGTCTGTAGAGTGTTGCCCCCACACGGCTTCTTAAAGCATGTCCTTGTCATCGGAGCCATCAAAGTCAGTGATTTGGCAGACAATCCCTGTTGCGTAGGTTGCAGGTTCCACTTCAAGGAATGAAGGCAGACTTCTTCTTCTTCTTCTTCTTGTCCACTTTCATTTGAAGCAGTCACATGAATTCATGGTGACTTAAAATCATTAAAAACTATGCAACAAAGTCAACTTGCATCCTGAACGAGTTTTTGAGGGGGTGGCTGAGTGCATCTGAAATTTGTCCATTCGCCTTTCGAGGATGTGCTGCCGTGCTCCGTCAATCCAAGGATGATTGGATGTGAGGGCAAACCCCTCCTCACATTAAAGGTTGCCTTTGCTCCTTTGCTAGGCCGCGAGCCTTGCGGCGCTCAGGCAGCCGAAGCCACGATGGGAGGAGGATGAAAGATAGAATGTCCAAGAGGAATTGCAGTGCATCGCCCCATCTACAGCCATCCGGGAAAGCGGTAACCCTTACCATCATGTGCCGCATGTGTTGGCTGCCTTCGGTTGCGCACTGACTTGAAGCTGTGTCCGACTTTGTGTTTCTTCTCGGTGCTCACCAAAGCCGGGCACCACGGCCCAATGAAGCTGGGTAGGTGGGTGCGGTGCCAAGTGGGGTGACAGCGGCGGGCTCCAAGTTGCACGCCGAGGAAGACCTTCCCCATCTTCGACAGCGCGCTTCGCGGCGACGCAGTGGTGGTGGCTGAGCGGCTGCGGCATCGCTTCGGCAAAGATGTGGCACAGCTGCTGGAGGGCTTGGCAGCTACAAGGCCTTTGGCCTCAGGCCAATGAAGGGGTGGGTGGTTTGGTGGTTTGGTGGAAAGGGCGTGGGTTGGATTGAGTTGGTTCAAAGTTTTTACCCGTGTTGTTGTTGTTGTTGTTGCCATGAGGAACGACCCGCTGATGTGCGAAATGAAGGCACTTCACGGCTCAGCAGTATGGATGCTTGTGGCAGGAAGACTGAAAGCTCATTCACAACAACGATCACGAGCAGCACAAGAACTTCAGGACATAGCATATCCCCGCCGTCCAGGGAACCGCCGCCATTGAGAGACATTCTCTGTGGCGCTCTTTTGGGTGCGCAGCTGATCAATGACAGCTGCTGGTGCTGGGCCAATGCAGGCCTCTTATGCACCTTGTGGGCCTTGCTGGGACGATCCAGCTTTTCTCTTGATGATTTTGGCTCTCAACTACGACCTGTTCGAGCCTTCCTTCATCGATTACAGACCATGCCGGGGACAAGCGTGGCTCTTTCATTCCCTGACCTCCTCAGTCATGCGGCTCAGAAGTGTATGCCTCGGGATGTTGGGGAGTTCGTTTCAGAACTTGTGGATTGGCTGGAATCTCAAGCCATTTCCATGACATGGGAGAGACGATTCACTGCTGGTTCAAAAGTTGAGCGCCCAGAAGCTGGCACGTGGCAGCATCCCATTGCATTGGACTGTTTGTATGAGTTGGATATCCCTACACCTACCATGACACAGCTTTTGCAGCCATGGATTCATGCAGAATCAATGCGGTCAGCCTTCACTTCGGTTGGCACTTTGAAATGCATTTACATTGACAGATCTGTCATGCTGATGCCTGCCCTAGGTCACAACAACCTGATCGAGTTGGAGGACGAGCTTTTCTTGCCCTTCTTCACTGATGCCAGGACTATTGACCTGACCTGGATTCCTCATACACCGGTTTCAGCAGTAGTGCACTTGGGCAGCAGGACCTCCGGTCATTTCATCACCTTTTTGAAAGCCTGGAACCCGCCCTGCTGGTATGAACTTGATGATGCTAAGAAGGCCAAGATGCACTTGACACTTCCCACTTGGGCCAAAGAGCGCCTGGTACTGGTTTGGTATTGCCCATCTCATGCTGTACCTGACTCGTCGCATCCAAGCGCCAGTGAACTTGCTGCAGGTCTGCCATGTGCACCCGGTCCCTTGGATACTGAGGAAATGGAACCAGTCCTGGAATCTGAGCACTCTGAGGCTGCTGACACTGAGGACTCAAGTAATCGAACCGAGAATGTGTCTTGGCCTTCAGTCCCTGCCATTTGGACTGAAATCGATTCCAATGAAGATCAGCAGCGCCTGACAATGCTGCTGGCCAGAATCACAGATGCCCTCGACCCGGCTACTGGTCCTCATGAGCCTGCAGCCGAAGCCACCTGCGCCGCCGCTGCTGAGCGCCATGCGGCTTGCTGAGAGAGGCTGGAATCTGATAGGCACCTTGGGTTGATGAATCTCCCCCTGAATGCCGCCAGTTGTTTCAATTCTGTTTTTCAGCAGCTGCTGAATTTTGTTGAACAGAGTGAGACATCGCCTAAGAAAGGCGCATTTCGAACCATGTTGGCCATTGACCTGTCCAGGACATAGCATGTCCCTTTGAACTTTTGGCCTTAGGCCTGTTCAGACACCCAGAAAGGAACTCTAAGGAGTCCGCCGGCCATGAGTGCCCGCGAACGGCTGCGCAACCTCTTGGGCGCGTGAGAAGAAGAAGTTGTTGTTGTTGTTGTTGTTGTTTCAGGTTGGGTCACGGCTCTTCAATTTGTCTTGTCACAAACTTCAGGATGTATGACAAAATTTGTTCAATTTCTTTGTAGGGTGTACGACGTAAACATGTTCGTCCGATGTTGTGTTTCCAATGAGCTTGCCGAATCGTCCCACTCATGCAACGATTGTTTCCAGCGCATCTGGCAAATATGGGTATTGTTATGTTTTGCTATTCAAAAGAACATATCCAACATTTGCAGTCTTCAGTTTCCTTGAAGGTTCAAAAACGGTGCTATTGCTACATGTGCCTACTTCAGGTTCGGAGTCCAGTGCAGGCGCGGTCAAATGAAGCTTGAGCGAACCCCAAGCCGGGTAGCGACAAGCGCGACATCCCACGAGGTAGCTGTTGTTTGGAAAACATGGGCGTGTCTCAAAAGCAGGGGCGCCTCCTCATCAGGGACTTCGAACAGCTGAAACTGCACGAATTTTCCTTCAACAGTAAAAACGCGTGGGAAGAGTGTGGGGACAAACTTCTGGCGACTACTTTGGAACTTGGGGGACCTTTCTCATTCCTGGGGCGCAGTCTCTTGCGAGATTCGGAGTGCTGACAGAGTATGGGAGAAAGGAGCATCCAGCACCAATCATGTCCAAGTCTGTTGTGCTGGTGCTTCAAAAATCGTTTTGAGACACACCGAGGTTCCCCCCCTCTCATTTTGGACAGATCTTTGGATCTGAGGAGCCCAAAAGTGGCCAATGGATCTGAGTGGCCCAACAGTGGTTGCTGAATCTGTGAAAAAGGGGTGTGCTGGGCTTCACCTTTGACAGAGGTGGATGCAGGTGTACAGATAAAAGGGTGCACAGAAAATGTTTGGAATGCCTGATTAGTCATGGACAGGTGACTGAACCCTGAAGCCTGGGTCGCTGTAACTCATATAGATGCAAATAGATAGGCGAGATCTGTCCATGTGAAGCACGTCTGACGAAAGCCTCGGCTTTGGACAGCCCAGTTTTCCGTGATTCTTCAACCGCTTCAAACTGTACTATCCTCTTCACGTCGCTTTGAGTTCACTTCTTCTTAACCTGCACCCTTCCGAACAGCTTTCCGTTCAGTCCTCAGCTTCTTTTGGACACTTCTAGTCCTTGGTCTACAAAACAGCACGTTGTTCTCCAACTCACCCCGTCTGTCTGTGCGTCATGCCATGCTCATGCCATCGCCTTCCGCAAAAACAAACACGCAGTCGCTGGCGCATGTCGCCACCGTCTCCAGCGGCATCGGTCACCCGCATCGGCCACCGTATCGGCACCTCTCGGGGCCCCCGAGAAGTCACCAACCCGGCCGGTGGACACCCCAAGGTTCGGGTCCCCACCCTTCAGAGATCCAAACTTCGGTCCTGGCGTGAATCCTTCGCAAGCAGAACGCTTCTACACCAGGGCCCCAAGTTGATAACATAGATAAATAGATAGATTCGATAGATAGATAGATAGATTTGTGAACGGAATTAGTTTTGTTTTTCCCGTCTTCTTTCAGAGTTATCCTCTTCAAATGTTGGATGGCATGTCCTTGGCAATCAGGAAGTGAACAATATGGACCAAATTAAGTATATTTTAGTTCTTTTTAGTTTAACCTTGCTATTGCGTGTGAAGAGGATTCTCTGGATTCAATATTCTAATGCATTTTGCTTGATTTATGGATTTTATAATGCTATTTCATAAGGACCAACACATCTATAAACAGTGAAATAGAGTTTGGAATTCCGAGAGTCTTCGCTGCGCTCCAGTGAGACCTTCTACCTCTTTCTCCTGCTGCTTATGTGCGCGCTGTGCGGTTTGAGGTGTCCCACTACACGGACCACATGGACACGGCCCAGAATGTGAATGCCAACGCAGCCCGGAAGTTGGCGTTGCCTGGTGGAAGTGGAACGGATGGGTCAGATGCGGAGGAAGGCACGGGCGTTGCTTGGGGATCATGGTACAACATTGGGGAATTAGATGGGCTTTGAGACTAGTGGATATTCTTGGCCTCAGGTTTTGGAAGGCTCTATTTTGGATTTGCAATTGGATAGAATGATGTATATATATATATATATGTATTCTATTAGTATACGTGCTTGCTTTCTCTTTTTTCTCACGTATCATCCACCCTACTCAAATGAAAACAGTATATAATAGGTAACATAAAACAGGGCAGTTTTGAGCGTCGCAACGGTTTGTCCGTGGGCGAAGCCCAATAACGAAACCACCCTCAAGCCTGACATGTCACATCAAGGCAAAAACCTTGGGTCCCGACTCTACGACATATCAGATAACATACAGTGCTTTTGGAGTAGATGGCATTGGCCCCCCCAAGATGACTTCTAGATGAGGGTCCATATAGACCACCTCTTGGGGGGTTTTGTGCCATCTACTCTGAAACCAGTTTTTGTGGTGGTTCGTTCCTATCACGAGTGTTTCTACACCTTTTCACACGGCCAAGCTTCGCTTCCCGACGCCTGTTCCATGACGCCACCTTCGCTTCTCGCACGGGCCATGGCCGAGCAATTGGACCGACGGCGGTGAAGCGGAGCTTGGACTGCAGGATTTGGACTCCAAGACAGAAACCTGCATTTTGCACTCGAACCCATCAGCAGCTGTTTTGTGTGTTTCGTGCGATCACAAAGGAGGCAGAAGTTGAGTTGATTGGATGCAGCCCACTCGGATTCCCCCCGCACGAGCATGAAGATTTTTGTGGGGTGAGCCCGGGGGGGACGTGACTCTCGGTGATTACAAAGGGGCCACTTCGCTGCCGACGGATTGAAAGCGAACGTCAAGAGCCAAGCGTCCTTCTTCTCCCCAAGTTCCAAGGGCGAGATGTGGTGGGATTCTTGTGATTGCTTGAGGCTCCTACCAAAAAGAACTAACATAGCTCAGTATGTGCGAAAAGGAGGCTAACTCATTGACCCACTCATTTCCTCTCGGAGCCACAACATCCGATGGAGAGCGGAGAGCGGATGTCTGAGCCAGTGGAGAAGGTGCGGGAAACGCAGACGAAAGGCGAAAGGCCAAAACTGAGATGAGGAGAACCATGGCAATTGGCAATGAACAGTTCTTCTTTTGGGTTGGGTGTTTTCAATTCCCAGATTAGTGTTTTCCCTTCCCGTGGTGTTTCCTTTTCCCAGATTGGTTTTTTTCGGTTCCCGTGGTGTTTCTGGTTCCCAGGTCTTGGTGTTTCCAGTTCCTGGATTGGTGTGTTTCCTTCCCGCCTTCGGTATTGGATTTTTTGGTTCCCACTCTTGGTGTTTTCCCTTCCCGGAGTTCTCCCCCCCAGGTCTGTGTGTTTTCAGTTCCTGGATTGGTGTTTTCCTTGCCCAGCTCCTGTGTTGGTGTTTTTGGTCACCAGGTTTGGGTGTTTTCAGTCCTGGACAATGTGTTCCCTGCCCGGCTCCTGTGTTGGTGTGCCCTTTCACGTGTTTGTTTGTCAGCTTTCGTTTGAATTTCTGGCTACCATTGCCCACCGCTGGATTTGAAAGCACGTACTCGTGTCACACAATTAAACAGACAAAGAACACTGCAAAACCGTCAAAGCCATTCGCTGTAAAAACATGTCAGTTTGCGTAAACCCACTGCCGCAAAAACACAAGGTACCCGGTGACACCATCATAACCGCGCACTGTACGAACACATAGACGAAAGCATACAGAGCTTCATTTTTGGCCATGAGCGCTGGGAGACCCTCAGCGAAGAAGATGAGGCAGGTGGTACAAAGTTATCTATCATGTAGTGTATCGCTCCTACCATGCCGTTACACCGCTGGATTTGAAAGCACGTACTCGTGTCACACAATTAAGCAGACAAAGAACACCGCACTGTACGAACACATAGACGAAAGCATACAGAGCTTCAATTTTGGCCATGACGCGCTGGGAGAACCTCAGCGAAGAAGACGAGGCAGGTGGTACAAACTTATCTATCATGTAGTGTATCGCTCCTACCATGTCGTTACAACTTGGCATGTAACCTTGTACCAGGCCAACTGGTGCTGGACCGCCAAAGACTATTTGCGCCAGCACTGTGCCCTTACAGTGAAAGCACCAGCCTGTAGCTTAATTGCAGCTGCTTCTGCTTACTTAGCTTTGCGCTGCTAAATCTGAGCCTACCAGGTTGGATTCCTCCGCTTCGCTGTCGTTTGGCCCCCAGCTGCAGCAGTACTGTTTGGTTCTGCAGCACGTAGTTTCGCTCTTGTCCGTGCTTACTGCTGTGCTGGCTGTTGCTGTTCCCGCTGTTCTTGCGGCCGCTGTTCCTGTCGCTGTCGTGGTTGTTTCTGTTGTTGCTGTTGCTTCTGTTGCTGTTGCTGTTGCTGGATGAGGCTGCTGCTGTTGCTGCTGCTGGTGGTGCTGCTGCTGCTGCTGCGGCGGTTCTTCTTTGCCACCTGTCCTTCTTTGTCGCCTGTCCTGCGTTGCTCATTCTGCCTTGTCAGGATGAGCCGGTGCGCGACGAGGCTCGTGCGCCAAAAGCTTGCTCTAGACTCCTCCACTCCATTCAGTTGCATGTTTGTCTTCAGAGTCTGCAATCGATGTTTTGCTACTCACACTGGCAGGAGAGGCGTATGGAAGTGGCCTGGCCGTCTTCCAAGGTACCCGCGCAACAGCTCCTTCATGACCGTGTGGGGAATGTATCAAATGATCGCATGCCACGCAGCCAGTCCTTTACTGCTGTGCGGCTGTTGCTGTTCCCGCTGTTCTTGCGGCCGCTGTTCCTGTCGCTGTCGCGGTTGTTTCTGTTGCTGTTGTTGTTGTTGTTGCTGTTGCTGTTGCTGTTGCTGGATGCGGCTGCTGCTGTTGCTGCTGCTGGTGGTGCTGCTGCGGCGGTTCTGCTGCTCGTTGTCGTTGTAGTAGTAGTAGTAGTAGTAGTAGTAGTAGTAGTAGTAGTAGTAGTAGTAGTTGTAGTTGTCGTTGTTGGTGGTGGTGTTGTTGGTGGTGTTGTTGTTGTCGTCGATTTTCGCATGTTCTTTGTTGATCGTTGTTGGTCGTCGTTGTTGGTCGTCGTCGTCGACGTCGTCGTCGTCGTCGTCGTTGTTGTTGTGGTCGTTGTTGCTGTTGTTCGTGCTGGTGGTGGTGGTGGTGGTGGTGAAGGTGGTGGTGGTAGTGGTGGTAGTGGTTGTGGCTTTTGGTGGTTCGTGTTTGTTCGTGTCTTTACAACAATTCTTTCGCGTTGTCCCGCGACAACACAAGACTCCCACCATCTCACACGGGATCACAGCACACCCGACACGGGAACCGAAAACACCGGACGCGAAAACCACAAACACCGGAGACCTAAACGCACCGAACGCGGGAACCGAAAACATCCGTGCATTTTTCCCTCTTCAACGCAAGGCGGGTACCGAAAACACCATCACAGGAACTGAAAACACCCGCGGGCACTGAAAAAAACCGAGCCGGGCACCGAAAACACCGCCGCGCGGGAACCAAAAACCCACTTGGGAACCAAAAACACCGCGGGAACCGAAAACACCAACGCGGGAAGAAAAAACACCGCGGGAACCAAAAACACCAATCCGGGAACCAAAAACCCGGAGCCCAGTTCTTTTTTTAAAGACAAATAGAGCCTCTGTGACTTAAAAAAACCAAGCTATTGTGGCTTCTTCCGCTGCGATCTGCCCTGTCTTGCAACCCCAAACCCCACCGAGCGCCCGTTTCGCCACCCGTTCGGCGTCCCGGGCGCCGCCGGCCACCGAGCGCAGGTCTCTCCGACCTCCTCGCAGGCCGTAGACGAGGAACGCTTCGTGGACCTGGACCGTCCGGGGTGCTTGGTACCGATGGCCACCGAATGGGGCGGAGAAATTGGCGGCAGATGGTGAATGAGAGGTCTATGCTTGGCACATTGGAGGGCTATGAGATGAGTCTATGGGTCCATCCTGTGGCAGGGAGGAGGATACCCAGAACTTTGTTTTAAACTTTTGCCACGAAATGAAGTCGGCAGGATAATTGAACTAAATTGGTCTTTCAACAGTACAACAGAAACGACTCAGTTTTTCCATATTTGGGAGCTCACGCTGAAAGTGAATCCTCCGAAAGTTCCTTTCAGTCGATCACGCTGCGAACGTTACAAGCACGGGCTGAACATCGGAGGTCCACATCGCGCATGCGATGAGGGCTGCACATGTGCTCTCACCACATCTCTCTCGTAAGAGGGCTCCAATCGCATCATGTCAGAAATTCACAGGGCCCTTTCACAGGGACCAGTAGCAACTCTAAGCAATCTACTGTAGCCAGAATCGTATAATGTCATATAAGGTCGAGCTGATCTAGTAGTAGACATCCCAGGGTCGGCGACTTCGCGGCCCGAGGCGAGCTGAGGAGAAGAGCGAAGCGAAAGGCACGGCCGTCTGGACGGCCTCTGGCCTGTGGGCGAACAGGGGCCCTGTTTCCTGGCCCGAGTGGTGAAACAGCGAAACAGCATGAAACAATGTGCAAGATCTATTTCCGCTCCTTTTTTGGGGGGTTTTGTGGTGGATGTTGATTTTTGTTCAACAGTGCCACCAATGTCCATGGGTTTTGTTGGGCACAACCGAGGGGATATCAATGTATCAATCCCACGGATTCACAAGGTATTGCTTTTTCGACTGACCTCGTCGGCCTAAGGGTCCTTGGCTCCTTGTGCAAGCAAAGACAAGCAAAGACTGTTTTGGGGCAAGAGTGTTTGCTCAAGAGGTGGGGAGTGCACCTGCAGCAGGCCATTTCTGGGATTTTCTGTTGCCTGGTAGCTGTACCCAAAAGGGTATTCTCTGACACCCAGAAGGACAATGGAACATGTCTTGGACTTGTGAAATCAAGTGGCAGCTGGCGCCACAAAGCCCAAGTTGTAGATCAGGACACTGCGTTCAACGGGTTTTGACCAGCCCCCTCTAGGCTGTGGTTGGTCAAGATGAAACACACCAGAGCTAGGGCGAAGGTGCCTTGAGTCTGTTCCCCAAAAGAACAGTTGTTGTGTGGAGCATCACTGTCCCAAAGTCGCAACCCACAGCCGATTTTTGGAAGATGACGATCTGTCTGGCCTGGTGATGTTCGCTGACTGGGGGAATGCGGAGAACTCCCGCAGTCTCCAAGTCTCTGGGTCGCCGCGCAGGCGGCCGAGGAGCTCGAGGCCAGTGAGGATGAGGATGAGTCCGATGCCACTGGAGATGAGGAGGTGCGGGGGGGAAGAAGTGGACAACACATGGATGCAGTTTTCTTAGCCGAAGTGTAACATTTCCAGTTGCGCCTTCCCGAAAAGTATCTGTGAATTCACCTGCCCTTTCACGAACTGGACTGGACTGGGTGGGGACACACGAAGGAATGAATCAACATCCAAAATTAGGTGGCTATGTCAGGTGTCAATCTTGGTTTGGGATTACTTGCGCATGCCAGAACCCACTGATTTGGTGAATCCTTTGATTCTGGCAGATCCCCTAGGCCAGGGCGACCCGGGCGTTCGCCCCGCCCCGCCGCGGCCCGCGCTGCCCGAGGTCGAGCGCCGTCGCAAGCTCGCGGGACGGACGGACGTCCTAGGCCGGAGACATGGCGACCGGTGGAGGTCGCCACGGAAGACGCTGCAAAGCTCCCAAGCTAAGATGTTTCTTCGGTCAATAACCAGATCGCAAAGGAGATCTTCATCTTCCAATCTCAGACGAACAGAGGAGAATCCGAAAGTGTGACTATGATCCCAAGCAAAGGTCCATCCTGTCGTTTTTCTTTCAGAAAAGGACTGTCTTGGCGGATGAACATGGATTGTAGATCATCAAGGCTTCTATTAAGCCCCATGAGGGCTTGGCTGGTTTGATGAGATCTTGCTGGTGTGGCGATTTCATGCGCGGTGTGGGCATATCGGAGGCCTGGATGGTGTGGCGCTTTTCTGCCTGGTCTGGGTCATCACCACTGGAGCCGCTGTGGCATTGATGGGGCAGCGCTGTGGAGTGAAGATGTGGAATCGATGAACACAAGTGGTGAGTAGCACTGGAAATGGTGATGATCTGATACCTTGGGCTATTCCCCCCTTGCAGTGACCTTCGCGATCCGTGCTCTTGCCAGCATGGTATTCCTGCCAGTGGTGCGCCCCAAGTCAAGTGGTGATACAGCTTTTTCATCAATAGTCAGGGACCATCCCAGCTGAGGAAGGTCACTAACTAGCCCAAACCCTCCAAAATACAATCAATGTCTACAAGAACAACCACTACGTACCCGGGTCTTTGGACCACCTCGCGGTCTTTTTGGGCTGAGGTCCTCTTTTCTCTCCTCTACTTCAGCATCTTTGCCCGTGATCGGAATTTCTTCAAGCCACTGCAGTGCCTGGACGAGGAATTCTCGCCTGGGGCGTTTTTGGTCTTGTTATCCAGTGAGCTGCAGCCGAATTACAACGAATTAACGGATCGAGCGGTTGCAGTGCCACTCGATCATCTATTTGGAGAAACTAGTAAAGACAGTTTCGCTGTCCCCGCAAGGAGCTTCATAACTTGAAACGATCCAATCAAGATCCAGCATAGAAACCCAAATAGCTCAGCAAAGGCTTCTGATGCTTTTGATGCTTCTGGAATGCCCTGCATTATTTGCATTTCCAACATCCGCATCATCCTACCAAACCTGTATCTCTCACATTCGGTTGTTGGGGTCAACCTACTCCCTGACATCTTCTTTTCACGTGCCACTGCTTAGCCTTTCACTCACAAATCTGGTCCGCATTGAGGAATGCTCTCGGTTCGGAGTGTGGGAGCAACCTCCCCTGAGTGCAGGGCATCCTTCATTGGATCCATTAGGTTGGCAGAGGGTTTTGGTAGATTTTCAGAAACCACTTAGACCCTGTAACAACATGTGGACTCAGCTGGATTTGCCATGGTCACAGCAGAGTCGGAATCGAAGGCACACATCTCGAGTTTGGAAGATGTGGATCAGTGGTCGTTGTAAGGAAGGAGGAAGTGGAAGTGGAACAAGGGTATGATGTTATGCATTTGTTATATCTTTTGAACAAGGGAAGGAGGGAATGGAACCCCATCGAATTCGCGAATCAAGGGGCCATGTGGCCGTACCGGTCATCAACCGGTGGTCTTCCCGGCAGCAACGGTTCAGGCGCTCGCGCGTGGGGAAGTTCTTCCATGGAGGCATTGCGGGTGTCCTGGAGCTCTGAGGTCGAAGCGGTGAAGATCCGGTGGAAGCGATGCAAGGCATGCTTAGAGAGACCAAAGACGTCGCCTAGAGAAGTAGAGAGATACATCGATGGCAAAAGGGCATTGGTTTTATCGAAAGTTTGTAGTCATTTGCAAGCAACAAGCAGAAGTGACAATCGAAACACTAAGAAAGGAACAGGAAAGAAGATAATAGAGACTTGGGAGAATCCCTCAAGAACATGTGCAAAGGATCTTGTGTTGTTGTCTTGTACACTACATAGCAGTTCCTTTAGATAATGACATTATGGGGGTGGGTGTGGGGTACGATTAGAGGAGCATTATTGGCTGAACGGAGATGATATCTTCACAGCCATTCTGGCGTCTCTTCAGATTCCACAAAGACCTTAGCAAAGACCTGATCCAGAGAACAAGAGCGCAAGAAAGAAGTGATGGTCAATGGGGTCTCCAGCTGATGTTGCTTGATTGGGACAGAAGAAGGAATTTCTTAGACTAAACATCACATGTTCTTGTCCTCTTTGAAAACCATGATCATAGATAATTCAAGAGTGCATGCTTCACTACCCCAGCTTTGTTTTCGGGTCTCCAACAGCCGCCTTGGCCTTCCGAGAGGCAAGGCTTCTACTGCGGCAGGATATGCTTCTAGAGTGGTCTACTTCAGCGGCTTGCGGCGCTTGAGCCATTTTCTGCAAGGAAGCGCATGTCCAGATGGCAAAACGCCGAGTCAAACATCTCCAACAACTCCCACTCATTGCCCACCGACGGAATCGAAAGGAATGTAAAGGGAATCCGGTGAATCTGCACTTCTAAAGCATCCTAACCAAAGTCCTACGACCCCAAAGAAACCCTAAATATCCTTCAGCCGCTCCTCCAAGTATCACGCGGAAAAAATTGAACATTCCTCATTGCCAGACAATTTCAAGTCGAGTTGCTGCTTCATTGAGGCCATGCCATTTGAAGTTGTAAAGAATTCAGAATAGCTCGTCTCCATGCTGCGCCATGGGACGTGGAACTGCAGTGGGCGGTAGTTTCAGTGTCTTGGGCGCCGCTGGGGCGGCGCCCTTCGCGGTTGGCGCCGGCCCGCCGCCAAGGCAGGCTGATCCCGGTCAGATGGGTTCCATGCTGGTCGAGCACCCTGGAAATAACAGCCCTTGAGTTCAAACACTCTTTTCTTTCGAAAGCAGTTTGGGTGGGCATGTTGGTGCAAGTGGGGTGTCCTTGGACAGACTCTGCTCACCAGACTCAGAGCTTATAGATCAGAAGTGGTGTCAACGTAGGGAGATCGTGAGAGACCCAAGTTTTCACAGCCAACAACAAGGGGTCGGTGAACTCAAGATGCGATGAGATGGATGAGGAGAACCCTTTCTTCAGAGTGCTAAGAAGTTCTCTTCTTTTTGCACATATTTGGAATGTAGGTGTCTTGGCCATGTTCTTCCCTCCCTTTTTCCACCAAACTGCACCTCTCCCTTCTGTCCACAGATCCACCGGTCGCCTGCTGCTGGTGGACTGCAACAACGTCCGTGGGCGTGGCCGTTCTGGGCGCTTTGAGCCTTGCCTTGCCTGGCCGCATGGTCAGTGGATCCGATCTGATCGGTGGTTGGCGACGTTTCTGTTGGTTAAAGCTGTCTTGGTGGTGCTTTATTCAGATCACATCACAAGCAGGTGGTGGAAACGCCAAGGGGTCGGAGCTTAGGAACCTTCTCACTGGCAGCTCGAGTGGTATAGAGAAGCAGCCAAGCCCTCAAGCCCATTTTGCTTGGTGGGTCGTAGTCTTAGTTGTTATACAGCTGCTCCTCAGCTGGGTTACTGTAGTTGATTCGTCCAATGTTTGGCCTGAGGACCTTAGCAGCTCTCAATTCCTCAGCTGGCTTCATCGCTGGACTCAGACGCGTGCGAAGGAGGAGCACTACAAGCAGGCAGGGCCGGCTTGCTGGGCTTGGAAGCCTTGGCAGTGTATAGTCAGAAGCCTTGGAGTCAGAGATAGAAGGGGAGACATGAAGAGTCACGAGGGCTCCAATGAGGGGTATTCATCTACTTTGTATGGACTTTCTATTCAGAACTTAATCCCCTGACATGCACTGAATCTTTGGATTTGTCTCGGTCTCCCGACGTTCCAGAGTCAATCCTCCCCTTGCGCAGGTGGTCGCCACCTTCGACCACGGTTGGCATCCTGCCTTGGTGGCTCTTGCTGATCTGACCGCCCTCTGGCGATCCGTGAGGGGGGTGGCGTGTGAGTTATCTCAGATGTGGCTGGTCACTGCAAGAAGTGTCACTTCTCCCTTGCCAGATGTGAAGAGTTGGGTCAATGGAGAGGTAGATGGGGGGGGAAGTGCTCCAGGAGCCCAGAGCTGTATCATATGTATCTGAAAAAGGCCTGTGAGTCCATGAACTTGGGGAGAAACCTTAGAAGTCTGGGACGCCTGGTAGGGTGATGCCAAAGCGTCCAAAGCTGATATGAGCAGTCTAAACGTAGGACGCAGGGAGAATCATGATGCTCATGATGTGATTTAACATTACCAGCATCATTAAGTAGAAAAAACAATTCAATGGTCTCTTTCAGTGCCACTCTTTTTGGGAGCCAAACATCAACACTCCAGGATCTGAGGGTTCAGTTGCACACTTTTGGTTCTTCTCATCCAGTTTTGATCATTTCTTTGGTCACAACCTGTTTGGTTCAGGTCGCCTTTGCTGGACCGAAGCTCTTGGCCGACGATCTGATCTACGGGCTTTCGAGGCAGATGGGTCGGAGGGGCGGCTGGTTTGGTGGATTTGAAGAGATGATCTTCAACCACCCTGAGGATCATCAACACAGGGATCACCAACCACCGGGTGGTTCAAATCATCAACACAGGGTGGATGATCCAACCCATGGCTCAATGGCTCTTCACCCTCATCTTCTCCGAAATACATCCTTTTCTTCAGAAACGGACTGTCATGAGATGTGAGAGAAATTCTGCAGTTTTCCGTTCACAACTGTTCCTTTTGTTCACAACTTGTCCTTCAGGGAAAGCAAATTTGCCCCCCCCGACTTCGATTGGTGTCAACATGGAAGATCTCTGCGACCTTGGTTGTGTTGGTGTTTTGTTTCTCCCAAAAAAACACAGAGGCGCTTCCAAGTGTTGCAAGAAGTCCAACCCGATCGCTAGATTTCAGGAGAAGACCCGCACGAAATCATGGCACTGGCTGGCCCCTAGACTTTCCACCAGTGTTTTTGAGGGTCCAAAACAGCCTGAAGCA